ACTTGGAGCTGATGGGTCCTGGAAAAACACAGTGTTCCCCAACTAAAAAGAAAATGAAAGAAAGAAAGAAAGAAAGAAAAAGAGAGAGAGAGAGAGAGAGAGAGAGAGAGAGAGAGAGAGAGAGAGAGAGAAAGAGAAAGGAATCCAAATATACCAATAATTAGAATAAATAATGGACTAAGCACACTGATTAAAAAAAATGATCAGATTATAGAAAAAATTTCCAGATATATATTATTTAAAGCATAGTTAAAACAAAAAGACGCAGAGGGAGGATAAACATGGAAATACCAAAAAAGATATAGTAAGCAAATACTAACCAAAAGCAATCTGGCCTTGTATTACATTATCAGACAAAAGAGACTGTAAGGCAAAGGCACTATGAAATAAAAATGACTACAAATCATTCAGGTGATGGAATAATTCTAAACTTGCTGCACTGGAATAATCTCAAAATAGGTAAAGCAAAATTGACAGAGCTGCAAGGAGAAATTGACAAATCTGCTATCAGTGGGAAAGACTGAAAGGTACATCATTTAGTAATTAATAGATTTAGCAAAGAATATTAACAAGGAATTAAAAGATTTGCATAGAAATAATTAGCAAGCCTGCTCTATTAAACAAACACAGAATTCTAAGCCCAAGAGATTATTTTCAAACACATTGATCATCTACAAAAACGGACCATCTCGTAGGCTATAAAGCAAGTCTCCACAATTTCAAAAGACTGAAATCATTACAAGCCATGTTGTCTAATAAGGATGCCATCAAGCTAGAAATCCACGTATTTAAGGCGGTTTTTAGTGTTTGGTATGTGTGGGTTTACATGCCTACATAACATAATGTTAAGTTAGAAATTTGGACTGAAGCCCTTAACATGATATCTGATATCCAAGCAAGGTGTGAAGCAGACTCCTCCGGATGGAAATATAAAGTAGGCATCTAAAAATCTGCCCAGAAACCTACCTGCATCAAGGGTATAAAATGGTCAGGTTGGGGAAAACTGGCTATGATGTTTTAAGAGCATTTCTTGTTTTTTTATGGGCTGAATTGCCCCTCTCCAAAGTGAAGGTGGTGCCTGCCTCTCACATTAAATCTAATTAAAGGGACTTCAGAGGGGCGACTTGAGGAGCTTGATATATAGCCCGAGTTTGGGGGGCACCAAGGCTTGAAGCAAAAGGCACTGGCCTGGGATGGCAGGGCAGAGAGAGTGCACGGGCCAGCCGTACGTCTGCAAGTGCAGGGGTGGCCAACTGTTTCTGTGGATCAGGTGTGGGCTAGTGGAGAGAGGGCCGGCCTTGGAGCCATTTTAAATCCCACCTCTGATCTGATGCTCCTCACCCATCTCCCTGCTCCCACTCTCCCCACTGTGCTCTGTCTCAGCTCAACAGCCAGATGGAGCCTTTGGAACTCCTCTGTGCAGCATCCTACAACGATTCCCAGTAAAAAGGCCAGGACGAGCCAACGTCTTCAACATGGTTTCCCTCCAACCGCTCTTCCCCCAGACCCCACAGTCTGACCTGCTCCCCTCCTGTCTTTATTCAGATGTCACCTGCTCTGCGAGGTCTACCCTAACCAGTCTATTTAACACCACTTAGGGGTTCATATAGCAGGGCTAACACTATAAGGAAAAGCAAAGGGATTATTGACAAGTCAGGTGATGCAACTGGAGGAGGGAAGCAGAGGCTTCCCAGGTTCCGGTAAAGCCTTCTGGTAAGGCTTTACCGGAACCCGGGAGGTGGCACACAGTGTCTTATTACTGTAATTTAAACTGCACACAGAGGCTTTATACACTCTTCTACATGGGTGGTAGTTTTCACAACTAAAAAAGATAATGCAACAATGTCAGAGGGGTAATAGATTGGGGAGGGGGGGTTATCACTTTGTGAGGGGTGCAAATGTCTAACTATTACATTGTTTTGTACACCTGAAACTAATTTTAAAAAGAGAGAGAGAGAAAGAGAGAGAATGCATCTATACTGGTTTAAATGCAGGAATACAAGTTTGGTTTACGATTAGGAAATCAGTTAATATAATTTACCACATCAACAAGATCAAAAGAAAAAAATCATATGATCATCTAAATAACTGCTATATAAATGGTTAATACAACTCAAAACCTATTCATAATTTTTAAAAAATGAATGTGCACACTAAGAATAAAGGGGACCCTCCTTAATCTGATGAGATCTTCAAAACTGTTTTCATAATATTATATTTAGTGGTATAATGTTAGAATCAGAATGATATCTGCTTTCCCTGCTTATATGCATTACCATCCTGGACAAGTCGGCTAGGACAGATGGCACAAAGCTGGGAAGAGCCTAGTGGTTAATAATGTGAACTCTGGCCCCAGGCTGCCCATGTTCAAATCCCAACTCTGATCGTTCTCAGCTGTGTGGCCTTATGTAAGCCACTTAACCTTTCCATGCCTCAATTTTTCTCTATCTAAAATAAATGGGAATTATAGCACTTACTGCATAAGGTTCTTGTGAATATTAAAATATTTATAAAGTAGAACAGTGTCTGGCACATGTTACATGCTATGCATAAATGTAGGCATTATTATTAAAAAGAAGCTCCAAAGATTCTACAAACAAATTATTGAAATTAATCAGTGAGCTGAATAAGGCTCCTGGATATAACATTAATGTACAAAAATTAAAATTGCTGGGCTGGCCGAGGGGCGCGTTGATTAAGCGTTGGCTTGGGGGCCGGCCGAGTAGCGCGTTGGTTAAGAGCCGGCTTGGGATGTCAGAAGGCCCTGGTTCGGATCCCACATATGAGGACCAGTGACACTGCCCTCTACAGCTAAGATGCTGAATAACAGCTCAACCTGGAGCTGGTCTGCCGTGAGTCGCCGACCACCGCAGGTGGATTGCCATGGGCTACCGTGTGTAGCCAGCAGCCAGCATGAGCGGCCAGCAGCCGCTGTGAGCAGCCATCCAGAAGCCGGCGACTGATCTGCCTCTCCCGGGAAGAACACAATGATGGTGCCAAGTTGGGCCAGTGAAGCAACGTCCTCCACAGCTAGACTGAAGAACAAAAGGATAGCAACTTGTCTGTTCCCCTTCTCCCAATTCCCCAATAAAAATCTTTAAAAAAAAAAAAGTTGGCTTGGGATGCCAGTTCTGAGTAGCAGGGCCGCCAGTTCGGTTCTCACATGGGCCAGTGATGCTGTGCCTTCTACAGGTAAGATGGTGAACAACAGCTCGACCTGCAGCTGGGCTGCCGTGAGTCACCAGCGACAGTGTAGGCTGCAGTGGGGCTGGCCGGCAGCTGGCATGAGCTTTCGTGAGCTTCTGTGAGCCACCGTGAGCGGCTGTCCAATAGCCGGTGAGCAACTGCCTCACCCGGGAAGAGCACAATGATAATACCAACATGGGTCAGTGAAGCGACGTCCTCCACAACTAGACTGAAGAACAAAAGG